CCCCCCCCCCCCCCCCCCCCCCTATCTACACCGGAGGCAACCGCTGCAAAGCTACGTATACAGGCATGTCTTTGTCGGCTTCCACTTCGATTCTGGCCATCGGTTCATTTGTTTGCTTCTTGTGGCGTTCGCACATGTTTGACAGGTTTGTGTGTTTGTCTGTATGTGTCTTGCACGTTTTTGTGCACATTACATGTACGATGCACAAATCTGCACACCACAACTCCGTGAGGACGGAAGTATGGAATTCTGCGCCGAAGCTTTCAACTACCAGACCCGGTCGGAGGACTCTTGCAGTCTAATATAGAAGCCTAAATAACTACCAATTTTACTGCTGGGGTTCCTTAGTATAATTATCGTAGAACATACCCCAGAACCCTATTCTAATCATTAAGGCCCCTACATTAAATTGCAGGCTTCAGGCTGAGGATAGTATTTATATGTATTTATGTTGCAGGCTTCAGCTGTATAGTCTAGCAAGGTTTTGGGGTTTGGGGCCGTTAAGGGTCATTTTTCTCGGCGAATTCCTGGTTCACGGGTGTCCGCTTTCCAGGAAGATCCGAAGAACCTGGTCCTTCTCTGCACCTCGCAAGGCCCCTATGGGTAAAGGGTTTAGGGTGGTTTACGGTTTAGGGTTTTAGGGTTTAGGGTTTAGGGTTTAGGGGTTTAGGGGTTTAGGGTGTAGGGGTGCTTCGACATTGGGCTTGCAGATTTCAAGGGTCTCTGTGATGGCTGTAAGGTCGCCGGGCTTCCGATGGTTCAGATATCCCCTGAGCACCCAATCAAGCTTGCAAGCCTTCGCAACTATATCAGGCTTCATGCCTTGAAGAGAAGAGAGGTACTCGCCTGGAGCCCTGAACCTAAACAGTTCCAGTGCATTTAAAGACTTAGAGGCGTTCATCTTGAATTCCTTCCACTGATGAAGGCCCAGACAGCTTCAGCATTCCCTGACATCCTTCCCCCCCCCCACCCCACCCTAATCCCTAAACTCATAACCCTAACCCACCCTCATGACTACATGACCCTCAGCAGGGGCGGCCTTGCAACAGCAGGGCGTGGGTAATCAGCGGCTCTTCTTGCACGACGTCCAGGTGCCTGGATCGGATTTAGGGTTGAGGGTCAAGTGGGTTGCTCTTTTCAAAAATCAGCCCCAAACCTACCCCAACTACTGCCATATTCCAGAAGCCCAATTGCTTCTAAGGATAAGTAGGGAATTCCCGACAAAGTTCGTTGAAGGCTACCGTAGCAACGTGCGTTCTGGTGCAATTCTATCACATGTTCGGTTGTCCCCAAACCGTATAGACCCTCATTATGATTCTGATTGCGGTTCATTGTTGCTTGGAGGATGAGTATTGCTACCATGTGCCTCCTTACTTGCTGTTTGTCTTCATGATCAATATTTTCATGCTATTAGAGCTGCCAGAAATGTTCGTCATCAACGTTATCAAGACTGGACCTGTTCAGGAAATTCAGGGGCTTCGACCTGAATTCCAAGCGGTTCCTGAAGACCGAGGCCGATGGCCGCATCTCGCGGAGATGGCTGGAGGCCCGGATAGAGATGACACGGGCCGTGTCTGCAAGGGCACAAGGAATCTCTGCTTGTCCTAAAATGCGGTTGTTTCGATCCTGACGCTTGCACAAGTTCAGCCGGGACGCCGCGGGATTGGTCTTTTTTTTGGCATAGGTGTAAGATCCTATCACTGACACTCTGAGGGGCCTTAGTCCCATCAGCCGAATCGAGCAGGCGCAGCGCACTGGCCATCGGGTGGGCGGCAGCCAGGCCGCGACCCTCAACCCTCAACCAACAACCCCAAAAATCTAAAACCCTAAAACCCCAAACCCCTCAACCCTAAAACCTTAAAGACCCTAAGCCCAAAACCCCAAAACCCCAAAACCTCAAACAACCCCAAACAGCGAACTCGACGAGCCGGTGTTTCCTCGTCGGGTCTGGTGTTTAGGCTTTATGGTTTTGGGTTTGGGGTTTAGGGTCTTGGGGTTTAGGGCTTAGGGGTTTAGGGGTTGAGGGTTTAGGGTTTTGGTTTTAGGCGACGCGCGTATTTTCAAGATTTATAGAAATGTGGCGAGTGCAAGTGCAGCTGGGATACCGGCAGTGACGATTGCAGGGTTAGATTCACCAAGCCAGAAGCGACAACTACAATACACGGCGCATCGCTGAGAGTAAAGAAATTCCTGAGTTAGGAGCACACAGACGAGCAGGACTACTACTGGTAGCAGTCCTTGGCCTCGTCGTCCTTCTCCACATCATCGTCCTCACAAAACCCTACCTATAGTCTCCACTGTAATTCCGTTTTGGGGTTACTTTAAAGGATTGAGGTTACTTTATAGGCTCCTAGGTATAAATTTGGCTCAACCAAAAGAGGTACTGCAATGGAGACTAAAGGTAAACTCTAGACTCAAAACCCTAAACC